AATCTCTAGAATAATTTTAATAAAGCTTTTTATGTGGCTGAAACTGGTTTGGCTCAGTGGATAGAGTGTGGGCCCACGGACCAGAAAGGTCCCAGGTTTGATTCCGGTCAAGGGCATGTACCTTGGTTGCAGGCACATCCCCAGTAGGAGATGTGCAGGATGCAGCTGATCGATGTTTCTCTCTCATTGATGTTTCTAACTCTCTCTCTCTCCCTTCCTCTCTGTAAAAAGTCAATAAAATATATTTTTTTAAAAAAGCTTTTTTATGTGAATAACTTTAACCAAGGCATGGTTTTGGGTTAAGGAACATTTGTCTTTTCAGGTAAAAACTTGTCAAAATTTAGACAAGGCCTAGGGAGAATACTCAGATCCCAGAAATAATGCAAGTGTCAAAATATTGAACAGAAAAGGGCTTTTTTTCTTCGTACAGGTTAGAGATAGGGAAGTAAAGATTATAACCTTTAAGGGGAAGGTGAGCCAGCATGGGGAAATGACCACTAGGGGAAAGTATCCATGCTGGTCAGCCTGTTCTCAGGGTAAGCTCATAAAAGGGGCAGGTTCCACCTTTGAGGACAGCTGACTTCAGGGATCAGAGTAGCCTGGCTGTCATTTGGTGGAGACCAAGTAGGGGATAACAAAAGGGCAATTGGCAACACTTGATCAAATATAAAGCAATAGATATGGATATAATTCAAAATCAGAAAAGCATGATGATATTTGTGATGACTTTGTAGTTTAATGACAAGAATGTTTTCTCTTCTATCTACAGGCTTGGTGAGAAGTCTTCTTTGCTCTCTTCTTATGATGATTTTTCTTACTCAAAAACCCTTTGACACATCTAGCAACATATTGACCTGCTTACAATAAATACATCCAACGTGCCTCAGAAAGCATATTTTATCAAACAATTTAAAAAATAGAGAGTATTTGTATTCTCTCAGGCATTAGATTGGAATTTAAAAACAAACTAGCCAATAAATAATTTTTCTGTGTACAAATTCCACCTTAAAAAAATAGTATTACATGAACAACAATTTCTGGAGATCAATGATCAATAGTTGTAACATAGTAGTAATGATATTCTCTGGAGTATTTGATGATTTTCTGCTTTACTCTGTATGCTGAAGTTTCATAAAATTTTAAAAAAAGCAACTTTCCATGAGCAATAAATTGATCTATGAAGCATGTGTCAGATATCCCATTGTATTTATTTCCTAGCCCTGCCAACACAAAGTACTATATTAGTAACTGGTGGCTAAGAAATAACAGCAGAGCCTTGCTCTCTGTGACAGCTCTAGAGTACAATTCATCTTTGCCTCTTCCTAGTTCCTGACATTTATTGACAATCCTGACATTTCTTGGTTTGTAAATGCCTCACATCAATCTCTGTCTCTGTTGTCACAAAGCCGTCTTCTCCCTCTTTGTATCCTCTTATAAAGACAACAGTCATATGAAACTGAGGACACACACCTTGTCCCTGGATAACCTTGTCTTAACTAATTACATCCGCAATTCCCCATATTCCCAACGCAGTTCAATTTCTGAGGTCTGGGGAGTTAAAACTTCAACGTATCTTTGAGGAGGGACACAATTGAATGCATGGCACCCCGAATGTTTTTGATTCTCATTAACTGTGTTTGCAACTATTATATGCCAACACACATTATTTTTCAGCCTCTCAATATTTTTAAATAAAAAACATACAATGTTGATTTATAATCTTCTGGGACAATGATTATGGAAGAAAGCAGGTCATAATAGAGCTGAATAGCGATTCAAAGGGCTATGAAATCATCTAGACAATCTCATTGTAATTGTGAAATATTCTATACTAAATGGAAGTCTAGTACCCATGCAGTTTACATAAAATCAGTAGAGTACTAAGCAAAATATTGTCTTTAATCATATTTGAAAGGAAAGCTAATTCACTTTTAGCAGGTGGCTGGGAAGAAAATCTCAGCTATGCAATGGTTGTAAATATTGGCAGGTAAAATCTACACATTACAGTGTATTACAACTTTTATGAGATTGAAAGTTTTAGTCAACAAAAGTCATGAAAACAGGGCTTCTCTTCCGGAAAAAAAATCAGTCAAAACTAAAGGCCAAGCTTCATTCCAAAGAGGGCTCCAAGAGCAGAGAGAGAACTTTGGGGCAACAGATATTGGAAGGGAACAGCGCAGAGTCCCAAGGCTCTGATGCGGAGGCAAGAATGTGAGAGTGAAGAAAAGTTGGTAGAGTGCCTAGTTACATGTCCTGTGTGCTCTCTCCTGAATTGCCTTTTGACCCTCCAGTTTACACACTTTGGCATGTAAGGGCAGCTGAAATTTAACAAATACAAAATTGAATCTGTGTTATGCCTTCTTCCAGTCTCGATTAACTTTGCCCCCCATTTCTCACAATAATCATTTATGGTTTTTTTCTCCTCTGCCCTCAATAGACTCTGCCACTAGTATTAAAATTCGTGCAAGAGTAGGCCTTCCTTCCCCCAGCTGCTGGCACCAGCTTCCTTCTGGCACCTGAGACTCGGGCTTCCCTCTGGCGTCCAGCACGCACTGGGACCTGGACTTCCCCTGCAGCCCCATCGTCCGGAAGGTCGTCTGGAAGGACATTTGGTCTAGTTAGCATATTACACTTTTATTATTATAGATTAGCACCTTGTGTCACTATTTGTGACCACAGTGAGTATTACACTTATCTTTCTATGTTTGGCTTATTTCAATTAGCATAATATTCTCATGGCCATCCATGTTGTTCTGAATAGCATATTTCCTTCTGTTTGCAGGTGAATATTTTATTTTATGTATGTGTCACATTTTCTTGATCCTTTCATCTAGTAATGTGCATTTAAGTTGTTGCTACATCTTTTTTTAAAAAATATATTTTATTGATTTTTTTTTACAGAGAAGAAGGGAGAGAGATAGAGAGTTAGAAACATTGATGAGAGAGAAACATCGATCAGCTGCCTCTTGCACACCTCCTACTGGGGATGTGCCCGCAACCCAGGTAGATGCCCTTGACCGGAATCGAACCTGGGACCTTTCAGTCCGCAGGCCGAGGCTCTATCCACTGAGCCAAACCGATTTCGGCCGTTGCTACATCTTGATTAGTGTGAATAATGCTGCTGATTTTCACCCATGTTGAATATCAAAGTCCCAGATTGGAAAGGGTGCAGTCCGCACTGAGAGACATCCCCTGTGCATGAATTTTGTGCATTGGGCCTCTAGTATAAGCATAAAAGGCCAGCATGACAAAATATACAATGGCAAATCCAATACTAATAGCTGATATCTACTGAGTGCTTTAAATTTGTCAACCACGTTCTCCACCCTTTCTTATATTGCCTAGTTTCATCCTTACATAAACCTGTGCAGTGAACATTATCAATCAACGTATAGATGGTACAAGCAATGCACAGAAAGTTTAAATAAAATCATGATTCCAACCCAGATGTCCAGTCCTTCCTCTGAAACACTCCACTATTGGGGCTACAGTGCACATAAATGTGAGTTGGAAATTGATTTGTCAGGGTGACTTTTACTTTTTAATGGCATTAGTCCCACAACTTCATCCTTGTCTTTAGTTTGGTTTTCCTGATGATGGAGAAGGATCAGGCAACTTTCCTAAACAACCTTATGTGAGAAAAATAATAACATGATTTATATAAATACGATATGGGTTGCAGTTATGTTTTCTGAATAGGAATATTCACTTTTCTGTTATTCATTTATTTTATACTAGTGTCCCGGTGCACTTTATAATAAAAATGTCAACCAAATTCACGATAGACAATGACAGATGAAAACACAGGCGTGCAATTGGCACCAGCGAGAGCTTTCTACGTATAGATAAACTTGCTTAATTAGACCTGCTTTCTGATTTTTCCAGCCCAGTGAAGCACCCCAACTTCTCTTTATGGTAATTGTCAGCAACACAGCAGTAAATATCAACACAAAGAAGATTATTATTGTAGACCACGCAGGGAAAACAAAGGGTAAAATATTTAACTGCAGCAGTGTTTGACTATATACTGTGCAGTGAGAAAACCTGAAGTCATTTTCAATGTCCATCAGTTCTTATTCCTTTTCAGGTCAAGTTTCTAAGCTTTCCAAATCTCTATTTTCTGGCTAATGAAAAGAAAATAGGATTCTACCGAGTCTCCTATCTACCTACTCCAGGACTTCTGGTTCAAATGAAATGAGGCATGGGAAAATGCTTTATAGACATTTGGTCAAAGTGTGAAATGTTTGCACCTGGCTATAAAGCAAGTAGTGTTCCTGGGCTGAAGAAACTACAAGGAGGCTAGTCACTGGGGAGAGGAAGCCGAGTGTTGCTATATGATGTCATTACCCAGTGCCCACAGATACCGTTTCTGGGCTGGGCTGTGGGCCACATTTTGCACCACGGGGTCTTAGCAGCTTTGGCTGCGATTTGGTGGGGTGTCACTCCAGGGTGTTGGTGGGACCTGTGTACCACTTGGGGGAAGCTGAGTGTTGTTATTTTTTTTTTAAATATATTTTATTGAGTTTTTACAGAGAGGAAAGGAGAGAGATAGAGAGCTAGAAACATCGATGAGAGAGACACATTAATCATCTGCCTCCTGCACATTTCCCACTGGGTGGGAACCAAGGTACATGCCCTTGATCGGAATCGAACCCAGGACCCTTCAGTCCGCAAGCCGACACTCTATCCACTGAGCCAAACCAGTTAGGGCGCCATTTTTTTTTAATGGCCAGTGCACATCATGGCAGCTCCTTCATTGAACATTGCTCCCTGGTGGTCAGTGCACATCACAGCAACCAGTCAGACAATCAGCGGGACACCTAGCGTATTAGCCTTTTATATATATAGATTTTACAATTGTTTATCACGAGTCCCACTAAATGAGAGACTTGAAAACTGCAAATTAGATACTGACTCAAATGTCCTTAGCTTTATTTTTAGAAAGATAAACAAATTTATAAAGATATTCCCTCCGTGCTGAATTAGAGTTATGAGTATGATACAGAGGTAGTATGAAAGGTCAATTGATACATCAGATTAAGGCCTGAACTATAGGAAACTCAGAAATAGACAAAGCAAGAAACGTCAGAAGGTCATGATCCAAGACTGGATTAAATTCCATGGATAGAGTTGAACTTGCTAATTGAGACATACAACAGAAATAAGTGATTAGGGCCAGCTAGAGACAAGTGCAAGGGGGTTTGTAGGGATATTATCAGAAAGTAAGTTCCTTGAAATTAGGAACATTAATCTTAATATTTTTTCTTGGTGCCACAATTCTGTAGCACATACAATGATCGGTACTTTAAAAAAAGTTTTTTTTTTAATTGGTTTTAGAGAAAGGAAGAGAGAGAGAGAGATCAGTTGCCTCTTGCATGTGCCCTGACCGGGGTTCAAACACAAAACCTGGGTATGTGCCCTGACCAGGGTGATCAGTACATATTTGACAAAGTATTTAACAAGTTACTACTTTATCATAACTTTATCAGGACTCAAAATCAAGTTCTATTCATTATCTTTATTCTTGTTCTGGTGGTTGCCATGTTTATAAGTACATGAGAAATTCTCATTAGTTACATTAACAATATCCAATATATGTGTGTTCTAAATTATGTTTCTATTTATCTAGATATTTTTTATTAAACTATAATTTCATGCAGATATTTTTTAAATTAGCTTACAAAATTTCCTTGGGTAATTAAATACACTTTCACACACACACACTGAGATGTACTTGACTCAAATAAAAATTGTAAAAGATTACTTACTAAAGAAATAAAGTGTCAGAGTGTTGTTAAATGAAAAATCACTGGACTGAAAGTCAGTGTTTCCTGATATGAATCCAATTGTGTCCTTAGAATCATTACAAGAC